ATCTCTACCAGCAATACCTTTCTGGTTTTAAACATGATATAGGAGGCCTGGTTATCATTTATACCAAATCCCACTTCCTTTAATGTCTTTTACATTACCAGAATGGTGTTAAATGGCCTCCATGAAAATGGAAATTAGCTCTGCATGTGCCAACGTGTGTACGTGTATGCTTATAGGTAGCCAGTTTTCCTCACTTGCTATGGATACTGATGCACAGCTACACAGAGGTGATCTAACCCAAACCCTCCATATACGCTCAACTCTTCTCCTCTAGTCCATTTTATTATTCCGTATAATTGTTCTCTCCCAGATTTCTCTCTTCAAAGCAAAGATAGATTTAGCAGGGGATGGGGTTTTTTTCTGTCGTAATAATCACGGGTTTATTAAATGCTTGTCCCAAGAGATTGTTCCAATACATATTAACTGCTGGAACTATTTGTCCATCACTGAGTGTAAGCTTTTAAGCTAATTTTAGAAAGTGCAAAAAGGAATATAATACTTCCTGCAATTAATCTGGATTTTTGTCAGCTTCTTGCAATTTTTGGATTCTAAGTGCTGCTCCACTTTGTTTTGGAAAGTTTTCTTTCTCAGTTTCTCTTTCCAAATTATTTCCAGATGGGTACATTCTACTTCTCAAACAAAACAACAGTAAATACAGTTCAACTAACCTTTATTATTGTTGTGTTTTCTTACCCCAAAATTCTCTTTGGTTTTGAACGAAATTTTCTGGAACAGGCCCTGTCTCATTGCCAGTGTCATTATATCACATGGAAAAAACCAGTGCTAGAACTGGCTGAATATGGGCTATATGGAAAAACCTAAATAAAGAAATGTAACTTCAGCTATGGTTCCAGCACAGTCCTTGAACCAGAAGCATTATTCACACAGAGACTTTCAGAAATGGTTGAGGTGAGGATCCTTCTCCACTGCTCTCCACAAACACTGCCAGTGAGGTATATGCCTTAAACCATATAAATTGCATAGCTTTCCCCACCCACCTTGTAGGGTTACCATTGAGTACTGCAAAAACACATGGCATCTCTCTATCTCTCTCTCTCCCAGGAGTCACTCCAAGAAGAACAATTATATTATAATCCATTTTAGACAATTTTTACTGAAGCTTATGCACTACTGAAACTGTCCATGAACCAAGAGGAGGATGATTCACAGGTCGAGAGCTTGTAGCAAGGCCTTCAGGATTTCCACCAGATATTCCTCTCTGGTTGCTTCTGACACAGGAGGATTTTTTGTTGTATAAATACGGGCATAGGGCTATGCAGGGATGCAGTCTCCTTCCCCTTTCCCTCTGCATGATATCCCCTTTCTATCCATAAAACATATCGTAGAAAATGTACAGATATGGTACCACACAGGGCCTCAAAACTATCATTGTCATGCTCAACCTCCTGCTTTTCATCGTGTCTCCACTGCAGAAGTGTCTGGGAGGAAATGTTCATAGTTGAACACCTACGAGCTTAAATCACACAGAGTTGCCTGCACTTCTCAGCCCTCAGAACTTGCTCTCATGGGACTTAATGCTTAATGGATTTATTCAGAAAAGCTTAGAGAGGTTTTCAATAATGATACTAAAACATTTTGTTGTATGAAATCGGCAAAACAGCTTTATTGGTTCTGCTTCAGAGGTTTTATTTCTGTTGAAAATCATTTTACTTTGAGAGCCATTTAATTGAAACTGAGAAGTTATGTGTTTTTCTGCTGGATTGAAGGCACCCAAACCTGATGTGCAGCTAAATAAAACATGTTTCAGTAAGTTCAATCCTTTTTTTTTGTTTTTCCCTCTGCAAATGACCTGTGGGCACAATTCCACTTTAAGCTCAAACTCACTTTTCTGAAATCCATCACTGACTGGCTTTCCCTGGAAATCTGTCTAAACTGAAAGTGTGCTTCTGTTCCCAGAAAGAAAATAAATGCTCTTTGAAAACAAATAGTCCCAAGGTCGAATTGCAGACTTCATTAAGTATTTTTTCCAATTACCTGGTTTTAAAATTTTTCACTATTCAGTCAGCTCTGATAAGATTCCAGCACTTAAGCAAGCTCATGTTTTCAGATGAGCAGATATTGTTGCACCTGCCATGGAGCACAAATACAGCTAAATCCCTAAAAGCCTATAAGATTTAGTGACATTTACTTCAAGGGTTTACATGACTGAAATCACTGAAATATGCTTACAGCTAGTGACCAAGTCATTTGCTGAAATGTCTTTTTAGTGGTATTAGACTAATTATAATTGCCAAGGAACTTGGGAAAGCCCTGAGGATTTGGAGAAAACCCCCTGCAATTCAGATAGCTCTTATTCAAGCACAAGCTATTAATAGCAGGTGATTAGGCAGTGAAAAGGAAGTCTCAGATCTCCCTGAGAGGTTTGGCTCTCACGTAGGATCTCAAGAACTCGTGTTTCCGTGCAAAGACAATACAAATGCTCAGACAATTTTTTTTCCATCTGAAAGAGAAGATTTTTTTTGCATAATATAAATCCATAGTAAATATCCAGTTATTGGTTTTATTTTCCACTTTTTGCTTTCTATATCCTCATGTTTGGTTAAAAGGACTTCTAGGCTGAGGCTTGCTTGCATAGCATGTATCTGATAGGAGGGCAAAACAGTGTTCTTCCAGCTCAAAATCATATTACATTGATGCCTGCATAGATGGCAGTGCCTGTATAAGCCACAGTATAACAGACTGTATGATGATAATCCATGATCAGGGCATTAGAGAATAAAGCACTCCGATTACAAAATGAGATGCACACAACGATTTTTTGACCGTGGTACTTTGGTACTCTGCAGAAGCTGAGTCCATCCTAGTTCAGAGCACATAGACTGGACCTCCAAAGTCCAGTGAAAACTGAATTTCAGCCCATTTTTCTTCTTTTTATATTGAATAGAATGGTAGTGACTACAGGAAGTTTTATCAATTACCGTAATGATGCACGTGTTACTCACCCCACATATCAAGCATGTCCCAGCTTAATCCTGTGACTGGGGCTACTCGCATGCTAAAAGTAAAGCATGTACTCAGGTTCTTGCTGGATTAGGTATTACAGTAGGCAGTCTGATACATGCTGGGTGAAACCACACACTTGAGCAGCTGGTGAGGTTAGCAGCAGATGAGTCTTACTAATTTGTGCGGCTCCATATGCACACTGCTGCTAGCATGGGTATGAAAGGCAGCTGTTCTCCTGCTCACCACCTCCACCCTCCTAGAAGAGCCAGGATGATGACCCAAGGCTGTAGCAGGGCTGATCTGGAGCCAGAAGGACTGATGTCTGTGTTGGACCCCCACTGCAATCTCCAAAAAGTCCATATGCAAATGGTCTGTTCTGTCAGAGAACGGCTTGGAAGATTTACCTTTACAGGAGGTGTAATCCTGATCCTAGATACAATGCAATGAAAATGGAGTGCCTAAATACCTTGCACTAGCCTGGGTCATGATCCACAATTTCAGAGATTATTTACCTGAGTAAGACTATCCAGTGATGCATGATTTCACAACCAATTTTCTTGTCCTGTGTTAGTAACTCCTAAGTGTTGGTATTATCTGAAAATGCACTACCTTCTTACCTTCTTAAATGTGGTATTGAATATAGATGTTCAGAATTCCTAGAATTCCTACTGTTCTGGTTTTATCACATTATTTACATATTTCTGTAATTCTGTTAAAGTCAGTGTCAGTGAGGAGGAAAAACATTTCTTTCCTTCCTCTTGCTCTCTATTTGTGTTCAAGTTATCCACAGTCAATTCTTTATTTTTATTTAACACCTTTTTTTTTCTATTTTTAGATGCATTAAACCACACTTGAAATCATTTGCACTTGGTATCTATACCCTGGCAATAAGAGTACTTGGTAAGTCCAGTTGTACTCTTGGATCTATTTTAATATACTCCTCACTAATCACTTATCCTAGAATTAAACTTTGGTTGTTGGAAAGAATGATGTCTAACTGACAAGTAAATATTTCATGATTTAAAAAAAAAACTAGCAAGAGGGTTGGAAAAGAGGAAGCAGCTTTGTATTTCATAAATTGTAGAACTGTGTCTTAGGTATAATAAAAATATATACTGCTAACCTCCATAGCGGTGACAAGTGATCCTTCGGACTATGAAGCTAACATCAAAATTACCTCTTGCCTCTTCTTATTCAACAACAAGCATAATAGAACAGCTATGGCTCAGAATTTGTGATCATTTTTCAGGCATATTTCCATTAGTTTCTAAGGGAATTAATCTAAGTACAGGTGTGCCTGAGGGCAGGGTTCACTGCAGCCTTGTGGTAGAGCCACCTATAAGTTTTCTCTAAAATCAAGGGTACCATGAGATGCCAATGAACTGGATACTCTAAAATCCTCTAGGTCTTCATAGAAAAGGTGATCATTAGCAAGAAGCAAGTCACTTATTCAAATAGAGCAGACTTAGGTGAGCTGGATGAGGCAGATGAAATGACATCAAAACAAGCTGTTGGGTGCTTTCTCACACCTTTGCAGGACAAGATTTTCCTTCCAGGCTTACTTTCTTCTCCAGAAACCATGGGTGGATCCACAGGTTACACAGAGTCCAGGATGTCCCCATTAGCACCTGAAGAAAGGCTTTTCCTTTCCATCACCCAAAAGCACTGCAGTAGGTTTGCCCCTGCCACAGTAGGATCTCAGGATACTTTGTAGGATACTGGTAGCCCTAGTGTAGGCTTCCAGCCCCACTGCCTCTCTCCCTTCAACTCCCCCCACCCCCACAACCAACACACAGGTCACGTCCCACCCCCAAGCTGAAAGGCTCCATCATTTTCAAGAAAGGACAAGTATTTCTTTTTTCCTGGAGGGGTCCTGCAGGGTTAGGAAACCAACCCATGGCCAGCACTCCTCCTGCTGACTTCCACAGGCTTTTTGATGTTCAGTTGCATTTCCTCCCCACCCCGATTCTCCACAGGGAGGAAAGGGCGGTGTGTGCCTGGGCAGCACAAGGCACAACTTCTCGAACCAGCAAACAGTGTGGAAGTGTCATCACTGTTCGAATGTATTATTTAATGTTCTACATGAACAGGTCTCTAGATCAGAACTGATCACCCTGGAAAGTAATCTTCTTGCCTCCATTTATTTCTTAAATACACCCAGCGGGAATTCCAGCCCCAGTGTATTTTGGAGTGGCCATAGATACCACTTGCCTGAAATGGGGAAGCAAGAGATGTGGAGGAAGAGGAGCATGCAGACTCTATGACTCCAGTGCACTCAGGTAATAGCTCTTCTCCATTCATTCTCCATTGCATTCTTTAAGTACGTCTATACCTGGCACTGGTAGAAGAATGTCTGTCAGAAAATTTGAATGAAATATTTGATGCCAAATGAAAGAATCTGACTAGTAATATTAACAATAATGCTCAGGTTTTAGCATTCTCTTTTGGGTTTTTAGTCTCTTTTGGGGGGGAGGGTCATCTTATTTCAATATCAGCCAGAAATATTTAAATCACTTGATTTTTCACCCAAAAAAATGTTCAGTTAAAACCTCAATTTTATGCTAAAGCTCCCCCCATTTTTTAACAACTCTGCTGTGAGAGTGTGTGTAAGTAAATAAGTAAAAGGTCTGTTAAACCTCATCATTGGTCCATGTTGGAGGTGGACCACAAAAAAGGAAGGGAAGGGTGCCACAAAGCACGCTTGGCTTATCTAGAGGCTTAAGCACAGTCTTGTCTTTATCAATTTATTGCTAGAGGAGAGTAATTATCTGCATTCATGAAAGGTATTACCAGAAATGGAGAATGGAATAACAAGGGTAAAAGCAAAATGAGAGAACAGGTTGCCCTTCCCCCCACCCCTGGGGAAAAAAAAAAAAAAAACAAAAACCAAAAACAAACAGGAGGGGAGGGTACATCTTGTTTTGAAAATTTGAAGAAAAGAACAAAAGCTCAGTTGGGACTCATTACTAATAAGCATAATGATGTTATTGTTGCTGCTGTTGATGTTACTGTTATGCCTGTAAAGCAAAAATACCATTAAATGGTCTTGGTATCACTGGTACTGTTTATGAGGCAACCAAAAAATAAATTAATTGCCCTATAAATATTACTGCTATTCTCACTGAAGCACATTGGGGTGGAGGAGGTCAGTCAATGCCCAAGACATTTTCTTGGCCACAGACCACACAATACCTGACCTGGGTGAGCTGGCAAACTCTCATCTCCAGGGTCATCATCTTGCTTGAAGGGCTTTCTTACTCAGCCTTACTGCATGAAAATATGGATGTGTCCTTGATGCCTTCTAGTTGTATGTTGCCTTTGAAATAGGCTCTGATCAATCATTTCTCTCTCAGGTACGTGTACCTGGGGCTGACTTTGGTGTTGGGCACGGTGTCCATTTTCTTCAGTGTTGCTGTCCTTTGGGTTCTCCGGAAAAGGTCTTCTCCACAAGATGAGACCCTCTCAGCCAACAGGGAGAGAGGCACCTATGGGACAAAGAGCAGGAAGGAGAATTTTGTCAATAGTGACCGTTTAATTCAGACAACTTACTGGCCAGAAAAGGAGACTAGACTTTAGGAAGACTGAGATCTCCACCATGACTTTACCCAGTGAGTGGTGTTCCAGGCAAAAATTCATGATCAGTGAAATGGTATCTTAGTATCCAGCCTGAAAATGTTCACCTTCATGTAATTTGCACTGTAAACACAAAAAGCAAAGACAACCATTTTAGCACATGTACAGCTCTGAAAACACTACTCACCATTTGTCCTGCCGAGTCAGTGCCACTCAAGTGAGGGGATTTGTTATGGCTGGGGAGGTGCAGCTTGCTCCCTTGCAGAGAAGCCAGCTTTATGGCTGCCCCTCAGCTTCATCCCTCCTCGTTAAGCTGCAACAGCCACTGCTGCCCCTCAGCTTCCTTCCGTGTGTGAAGGGTAGTGGGGAGGCTGCAGTGCAGCTCTCTCCACCATGGTACCAGCCCAAGAGGAGTGGGTGCACAAAACCCAACTTGGCAGCCTGGAAGGTGCAGGGATATTCTGCACATAGCTCGCCCTTGCAAGCAGTGCGGCACAGGGCAGGAGGAAAATGGTTTGCTGGAAGGATAAATCATCTACAGGCTCTGGGCATCTTGTGAATTCAACCCATAACACTTATCAAATGTTGTGGTTAGGGATTCTTTTTCAAGTAGCTCTGTTATAGCACAACAATAACAGCAATAAAAGTTGTCATTGCAGTCAAAGAGACAACAAGAGTATATTCCAAAGGAGACTGGAATAAAAATAGAGCTTTTTTAGGTTTCCATCAGTTTCTTGCTACTTGCTCGTACTCAAGTGTACTGAACAATTCCATGCATTTTATGCAATGTAAAACACAGTGATACAAGATACATATGATTTATTTTCTAAAAAGCTATGACAAGACAGCTTGGGAACAATAAAATGAATTCAAAGACCAGGTGATTTGGGGCTTTTCCTTTTAATTTATTGTATTTGTTAGCTGAAACTAAGGCATGTATCATAGTATCCCTATATATATGAATTCTGCAGTTTGACAATATTTGGTATTAAATAAATTTGGGGTGGGGAGTACAATGGAGAGCTGTTTAATATGGAACAAAATCTCAAGAATGCTTGCACTGAAAAAGATAGTGACAGCACCACTACAAATGATGTCCTTTAAAGCAACTAGAATTTTAGAGGGCATGATGAAAGGTAGGCTTCACCCTTCATCATAATATTGGCAAAACAATCTCATATCATATCACTTGCATCTCAGCAGTGACTGTAGGTACCCTGCTGCCCAGTTGAGCTTGCAGGTCAGAGGCAGATGTGGAGCACCTCCTGTGGGATGCATGAGGAGGGGCAGACATATAAGAATGGGATTTACTGAGCTTTATCAATGATAAATGTTTACAGTGTGCCATTAGGGAACTACCTAATCTATTCAATAGGAATACCAAGAAGAAGGATGTTGCTTAAGCACCACATATCTGCAGAAGGTAAGGACTTAAAGCCATCACTTGAGAAAAAGCAGTTGTCAGAGGAAGGACCAGTGCCACCCACCATTTGCCACGTGGGTGAGTGTTTAGACAGTGGCCTGGAATATGGGACACCCAGTCCCCTGTCCCAGCTCTTTGTCCTCCCAGGTGAGTGTCAGAGGCTCCAGGCAATGGGCTACCAGAGAGCTGTGGCTGTTCACTTTGCCTTGTGTAACTGGATATTGAACTAAACAAACAAAATTAAAATAATTAGGTTTGTGAATATGGGACTAACTGAAGCATTATGGCTAGGGTGAATCACAAAGATTTGCATTCCAGTCTCAGGTCTCATTCATACTACATCATCATAAAAAGAGCAAAAAATGCCAAACCGCATCAGCATCCAGGAGCAAGAGAGATGCTTGGGAGCCTCCTTGGGATGGCACTTTTCATAGCAATGAGCTGTCAGATCCAGTGAGAGAAAGGGAAAACCCAACTTAAGTACACACTGGAATAAAAAAGGAGGGATATCTGCATTTCACTCCATGCTTGATGTTGCATGTGTGTCAAATAAATGGGGATGATTCCTAATTAGCGAATCAGTCCCGGCAGGGTTTATGGCAGGAACGCTGCTGCCCAGCAATTCTGATGCTGTCACAGAGGCAGTTCTCCATGTGCCCGGCAGCAAGATGGCCAGGAAAATTCACTGGCTTACAGGACAAAGAAAGAAATTAAGAGAAATAAACATGTCCTACTCTAACTCAGAAAGAAACAGGAAAAAAAAAGATCAACTTACTGGGTTATCACCTAAGCTTATGTATGTAAATCTGTACTTAGTGAATAATTCTTTTAAAGCATGGGCTTTCCTTGCATACCCCATTTTCTTTACACATGGAAGGAAGGGAAATACTACGAAATTATTTGTTTCAGTAAGTCTTATTTTCATTATGGTTTAAAAATGAGCACACTTTTCCACTCACCCTTCAGCAATAATACTGTAAATTACCAAGCAGATATATTCCATTCCCACTTTGAAATATTTTCAAGTCTTCTACTTTATTTTAATACTTCAAGTAGTAACGTGGATGCACGGATGAGTGTCTGACTAGAGATGCATATTCTGGATTTGTTATAATAGATGAACAAGTGGTCTCAGCACTAAAGGATTTGGACCTGTCAGGTTCTTTCTACCAGAATTCTTCATCTCAAACTAAATCTGCAACTGATAATGTCTCACAAAGGTCAACAAATTTGGATTTTTTTCTTTTCTTTTTAGAATTAGAGATATTAAACCACAATTGAGAGACTGTAAAGAAACAAATGCCTTTCATTTTCAAAGGTGAGACTGTTAAAAGAATTGGCTGAGGATATTTCCCAACCATTGATGTCAACCTTTGAGGCCAGAGTGGGACTCTCAACCTTGTTAAGAATAACCCACAGGCTGTATGCCATGTAAAAACGGTATTCATACATTTTCATCTTATAGCAAGGACCCTAACTGGCACATACAGGAGAAGGCAAGGGTACCAGGCCATGTCACAATGGATGTGCAACCAGGCCTAGGGCATGTGAGCCAGCACACATTTTCTCTTCTGCCTCCCAGCAAAAAATGCAACTTTCGAATGACGTAATATGTCTTACTTATAGGCACATCATTTCTAATCATGTCAGGAGGGAAACACTGAGGAATTCTAACAAATAAAGGAAGCAAAAAGATGAGGTCAGTAGACTGTGGGAGCAATGTACTTGATTTATAGCTCATGCCCTCCCAGCATTTGAGAAGAAAGAAGCATCAGTATAGGATGAAGTATCTTCAGGTCACAGATACTATAACAGCTACCCCACCATTGCCACTATTAAATTGCTATATATGATCCTGTACTCTGAGGGAATTGCCAAAAGACAGAGAGCAAATGGTGTGAATGTATCAAAAAGAATACATAGGCTGAATAATGACAGGTTGCCTCTTTGATGTGCTCAAAATAATGAGTAAAAGTGATGTATGAAACAACTATTGTAAAATTTTTAAATAGCAGCATGAATATTATCATCTGAGAGAAAGCATTGGCATTACCACTTGGGCTGGTTTGACTGTTGATGACACTACACAGTTTAACTGCTTAAAACATGAAACTTAATTCTGCATAACACTGAGAGAAAAAAAGTTACTCCTCTCTAGAAGGTATGAAGTGCCTAGTACACAGACTCACAGGTAGCTAAGTCACAAGGGTATTTAAAAAGTATTTTTAAATAGAGAGCCATTATTGATAATTGTGAGAAATATGAAGAAAGTGAGCGCACTTG